AGGATTTTGAGTGCCCTGAATGAGGTAACTTTATAATGATTTTGATGGATACAAAACTACCATTTCAAAATGATTGCATTGTATAATTATAAATATAGTAATAAAAAATTAAAAATCAATTTCTTTGTATCTGTAGGCTTATACCAAAGCTTAATAAAACACATTATAATGTGCTACTTCCTGTCTTGATTTTTCTATTAACATTATGAAAAAAGTTCCATTTTTCCATGAAACCTACTCTAGTCATCTTTACCTCTTATATATTCTGACATGCTACTTAGGAACACTCCTTGATGATTATATATTCTTGGACATTTTTTCCACCAAGATAATGAATTGAGATTAAAAAGTAATTATAATACCTAGAAATACTTATATAAAGAATAAAAATCCTCAGGATCCAGAAATGAGGAAGAAATTGAAGAACAGAGTGTCATGGCTCTGAAGAAAGTCTTATCAGTCTTTTGAAACTGGAATCTTTTAACATTTGCAGGACAAGGTTCTTGAGCCAAGTGAAGGAAGAAAGTTCTCCAACGTTAGATAAAGGCATGGATTTCCATGAGTTTCTCTTTATAAAGGTGAATGAGAAAAATCCATCTAAGTGCAGGGAGATTATAAGAAAGCTACTTTTCTCTGCCTTATGTCAGGCTGAAAAAAAAATTCATTCTTGAGAAATGGACACTCTGACTGAGACTTGCACAGGTTTGAGACTTGCTTTTACAATATCTATTGGTTCCTGGATGGCTTATTCATTTGGCATTTCTTACAAAAGAAAACAATATTATTTCATTCTTGAGAAATGGACACTCTGACTGAGACTTGCACAGGTTTGAGACTTGCTTTTACAGTATCTATTGGTTCCTGGATGGCTTATTCATTTGGCATTTCTTACAAAAGAAAACAATATTATATTGAAAGAACATTCTTTCAGCACAGGATTGCCTTGGAGAAAGGGCACTGGAGACGAAGAAAAACCCTATCAGGATGAACTTATACAGCAGAATATAAAAAAGATAGGCAAAAGTCATAATAAACAGGCAAGTCATTTGTTACAAATTTAAGGCAATAGAAAAATAATCTGCAAATAATGTAGTATGTGTATGCTTATAATGATTAAAGGTAAAAAAGAGGAAATCCAAATCCTGAGAGAAAGATTACAGTCTTTATATCAATCAATGCTAGTACTCAATGCTAGCTGTAATATCAAACAATCCCCGAATCTCAGTGACTTACACAACAAAGGATATTTCTCATTCATACCAGAGTCTGATCAGGTGTTTGGTGGTGGCTTCGCATGTGCTGACTAAGGGTTCCTGGCTACTTCTATCTTGTGATATCACCATTTTGTAGGTGGTCCACACAGGATTCAGCCACACATCAAGCAGGAAGAAGTGAGAAGTATCTCAAAGAATGTTCTATGAGCCTGAACATGGGACACAACATATCTACCCACATTCTTTTTTCCAAGACACCATCACACAGTACCAGCCAAACTAGAAAAAATGAAAACAGGATTGTTGAACATCTGATCAATCTCTACCTACACATAAAAATTGAAAACATTTCTCATTAGAAATTATACAAATGTAGAATAAAGACATTCACTCTTTTATTTCATATAAAGAGATGATAGATTTCCTACCTTGTCCCAACACTGTTCTGGTTGCTGGAGATAGAAGAAATGAACAAAAAAAACAATGTTCCTACAATTGTACAACTTACCAACTTACTTGTGGAGACACACAATAAGCACATATATAAAGTATTAGTGAGGGAATTGTCAATTGCTATAAAAATAGAGCAATATGAAAGGATGCACAGAGGTGAGTGTTGCTTTAATGGACAGGTGTTCAGGAAAGTCCCTCTGCCAGCCCTCACCCCCAGGAAGTGATATTTAAGAGAGACTTTAACCTCCTTGTTGATAAATTTAGCATTTAGTTGTTTTTACTTCATCTTTGCTTGATCTACTAGCAGTGTTTGAGTCTGTTGCGCATTCTCTCATTTTTGAAAAAATTGCTTCAGCTGGTTTCCACAGGCATCACCTTCTACTGTGTTTTTCCTACCTTACTCTATTAGTTTCCTATTGCTGCTATAGTAAAATACCCCAAACTTAGTGACTTAAAACCACACAAATTTATTGTTTTGGAATTCTGGAGGTAAGTCTACAATGGTCTTGCTGAGCTAACCTCAAGGTTTCAGCAGGGCTGTGTTCATTTCTAGTGGCTCTAGGATAGAATCCGTTTCCTTGCCTTTTCCAGCTGCTTGCACCTGCCCATGTTCCTTTATTCATGGCATCCTTTCTCTGTCTTCACAACCAGCAATTTTGCTCCTGTCCATTCTCCAGTAATCACGTTTCCCTTTGATGTCTTCTGTCTCCTTCTTGCAATTTTGAGGATCCTTGGGATGATGTTTGGCCCACCCAGATAATCCAGGATAATCTAACCATCTCAAGACACTTATCTTAATCACACAAACAAACTCCCTTTTGCCATGGAAGGTCATGTATCCACAAGTTCCAGGAACTATGATATGTATATATTTGGGGGCCGTTATTCTGTCAACCACATTCAGTGACTGCTTTTTTCTCCATTTTCTTGGATGTTTCCTCCTTTTCTCTCTGATCTTTAAGTATAGAATACCAGGACAGATATACGGCTGTGCTGACTGTTAGAGTATTGAAGTACTTTTATACTTATTGGTAAGTAGCCTCAACAATAACCTTACCAATAACTCTGAGACTGAGACATTTTTGCCTCTTGCCTTGAGTCCCTGACCCATCCTGAAAACTTTACATCCCTGCCCCCACCACTAAAAGTGAGAAATAAATAAAGTCTGGATAGCAGGAGGCTTTGAAGACACTGACCCAGCATGGTGGCCAGGCCTCATTTAGATTGGTCAGTGCTCAGTCCATGCTAGTTGTTAGGTGTTTTGAATAGCATCCCTGGGAGCGCCTCGTCGTTAAGTAGTCATTTTCTTGGTGATATCATCCCATCTTCAGAATTTAAATACCACCTAAATGCTGATGACTCTCAGAGTTTCATTTGTAGTCCATTTTATTTCCTCTCAAACCTCAGAATCATACTTGGATGTATTTTAGGCATCTAAAACAGCTTGTCCAACACTGAACTGCTTTCTTTATCCCACCACCTCAATTTTGCTCCACCCCATGGTCTCCTGTCAGGAAATGCATACTCTATCTACTTGCTGAACGTTAAAAATGAACACAAAATCTGACTATTTCTTGCATTCTCTCCAGTTACCAACCTGGTCCAAATACCCATTTGCTCTCACCGTTTACTTCAAAGCTTTCTACGTTGTTCCTTTATCTTCCTCGGTCTCTGCTCAATATAGAAACAAGAATAATTATCAAATTTTAGTAATATCACATTGTACCCCCACTCAGAACCCTCCTTTGGCTTCCTGTGTCACTCTGACTAAAGACCAACACCAATCCCTAGGCTTAGATCAGCTTTATTTACAATCCTGGCATCGCCAGTTACCTCTCTGAAATGATCTTCCTTCACCTCTCCTTCCACTCTCTTAGCTTCAGCCCCACTGACCTCCATATTATTCTTAGAATAAGCCAGCATGTTCTCTGAATCTTCTTTGCTGTGTACACTTGCTATTTCCTGTGTCTGGAACATTCTTCACGTGGATATACACATAGTTTGATCTATCACTTTCTTTTGCTATTTATATCAATATGACCTTATTGTAGACACTTTCCTTAACTATTGTTTTAAAAATTGACTACTTTAATTCTTCAGTTCCCCTCCCTTGTTTTACATTTCACCTTAGCAAAGTGAACATATATATATATTTCTATATTTCTATATATATATATATATATATTTCTATATGTTTTACTTAATTTATGCTGTTTATTTTGTATCTAGAACTTACTAGAATATGAACTCTGAAAGGGTAGAGATTTTAGTCTGGTTTTTTGTTTTTTTTTTTTTCAACTGCTTGTCCCAGGGTTTGGAGCAGGGTCCCAGGGTTCTAGCCTCCCAAGTAGTTAAAACTTGAAAAATTAAACAAAGTTCTATTTTAGACTTAAAAATTCATAAGAATAAACAAAAAGTAATATTCAAGGTTTAGGGATATAATAACTATAATATACTAATGGTGAGACTAGAAAACAGGTCCAATTCCAACATTTTTGTAAAAAATTGATCAAAATATGCCATAAACTTTATGTATATACATTAATAGAGTAAGACTCCTTATTACAATTTATTCTAAGGACAGCCAACATAGTCTTTTATAAAGGTGAAAAATTAAAAATTAAAACCCTCAATTTTCCAACTATAGAAGCTTTAGTTATATGAAATGTAGTGTATTCATACATTGGAATATTATGCAGTCATTAAATTTGTGTTTAGATAAACACTTATGGACCTGAGAAATATTAACAATAAACTGATAAGTAGGAAAAAGCAGTCTGTAAAAAATATGCAGAAAGATTTTATTTTTGAAGAAAAAATCTATGTCCTGTATATTGGTCTGAGAAGATATAAAGTTGTTAACGATGTCATATCTAGAGTGGGGTGGGTATGTTTTCTTCTTTATCACAGTTTTCTTTTAAAATAATAATCACCTAGTACTTTTACATGAGCAAAAATCAAAATTTATATTTGTATTGATATTCCAAAAGCTATTGCTATTGTAAGTGTGAAGGATTTTCTTTAAGTGTGAATTGTACATAAATATTCTTCTGTGTTTATAATAACAGACAATACTCTGTATCTATTTTTTAATGTCCTGTATCAGTAAGTAGTAGCTAATGCTCAAAATTTGCTTATAGATTAATCTCTTTGGGGTCATTTTAATCTTTAGACACCTAACATGGAAACTGTCTGGCCACAGGTATGACATTGAAAAATGTATTTAACAAGATTCTGCCAGTAAGATAATTAAATTTATATCATGCAGTTAATTCGATATTTTAGCTCAGAGATTTTAATTAAAATTAACCCATCCACTCTCTTTCTCACTAGTCTGTACCCTTTTGACAGTTATGTACAACCTACTTCTGTTGAACAGAAGAAAGGGAAATTCCCAATCTGGCCAGAGTGGAGTGAAGCTGACATAAATGCAGAAAAGTGGGATGCAGGCAAAGGTGGAAAAGAAAAGGACAAAACAGGGAAAAGCCCTGTGTTTGTAAGTAGACTTGAATGTGACTGGATTTCATTTTCATTTTAAGCTTCATAATGGAATAAGATTTGTTAACATGAGAGTATACTCATTTTTCTTCCCCACAATCTCCATTTAAAAGAGAAATTTTGTCTTCGTCCACCTGCCCTCCCTGCATCCCCACCCACCGCCTCCACCTTGACTTTCCAAGTCTTAGTCCTGAGCTTTGGTGAATCACATTTGGGTAAATGGGAGGAAAGAGATATGACCAAAAAGTCATATTGAAATAAAGGGGAAATTAAGATATAGAACAGGTTAACCAACAGATTTTGGACAGAATTGGGAACCAGGCTTTTAGAGAGGGTGGTTTAGAGAATGAAAGTCCACAGCAGACTTGTAAGCTGTTAACTGGAGGTTATAGGAAAGATGATTTGTAAAAGGGATGTTACTGTGAGATAAGAATTGGATCTCTCTTAATATCCCCCAAAGACATGTGTGTAAAAATCTGAGTGGCTATTTGTTTAATTTTGGTCATGTGAACATGGTGCATCCTTCATATTGAAGCTATGTGGAGTTCCTACATTTTCCAATTATATTATTTTAGATTCTTTTGCCTCTTTGAACATTTGGGTCTGGATTGCATTCAAAATATGACCTATTTATTTGGTGCTGCAGTTCATTTTAAAAATGTATAGAACACATTATAATTTTCAAAATACAAACAAACCTGCCAGTATGGCTAGGTTGAACTCTGGTGTCCTTCTTTGCACAGAACACTCTGAAATGGCAAATATTAACATTTAAATTTTGTTCACAAAATATAGAATCACAAGCTACATACTTCATATCAATGAGTTGTTTACAAAAGACATTTAATAAAGGTAACCAATTGCTGACTTTTTTAGAACTCAAACAATTTCCAAATTAGATATGTGAGAGGTGATGCATTCTTTGTACCATACCTAGAGTGATGTAGAGTGATTATGGAACTTTTAGATGCAAAGGGTTTTTGAACTCTCCAGGTTCAAATGAAAATGGTCATATCCTATGTATTTTTAGCAGCAATTCAAAACTTACAGAGATTGTGTGTGTTTGTGTGTGTGTGCGCGTGTGTGTGTGTGTGCAGCTTTCAGAATTTGTATCAGGAAATCCTCAGTTGGTCAGTTGAGCTCTGGTGTGTGTGTGTGTGCAGCTTTCAGAATTTGTATCAGGAAATCCTCAGTTGGTCAGTTGAGCTCTGAAAAAGACCTAGAGATGAGTCACTCCAAATTGTGAAGATACAACAGGGAAGTGAAGGGCAGAAATGCTTGAAAATTTTGAAAAGGATATAAATAAGAACTTTTTAGGGAGCTTGGAGTGCAAGCATGCCTTTATAAGATGACTATGAAAAAAAAAAAACATCTTACAAATCTCTAGAAAGGCGAGTATAAAATTCTGGCAGTTATCCGTGTTTATAAAGCAAAGGCAAGTATGCTGGAAGAACATTCATTTAAGGAGAACCAGAGTGACTGGAGCAGTAGTAAGTGAACTTGTTTCCTTCTGTTCGTTTCATTTGGGGCAGTGTATACAAATCAGGCTGGCTGAACATCAGATCCCAAAGTAGATGCTGGGGCCCTTGGACTAAGGAGCTCAATAAGACTGCATAGTTAGGGAAGCAATAGACCAACTTGTGCTATGAACCGGGCCTATCCAAGGGAGTGTGACACTGCAGACCCTTAGCCACCATCCCATTCTGCCACTACAGCTTTCAAATGTAGGAGAGCAGTTGCTCTAACTAGAGTGCAAAGTTCTAAAATCTGGGATAGAACCTTGCTCCCCACTCCTAGTCCTGTCCCACAACCGAAGAATTCACAGCTTATAAAGCAACAACCCCTCCACTGGAGTGAGTGGTGGACAGTGTCCAAGCCTTGTGATGGCATCTCTATGATGTGGTGGCATGGTAGCTCTCAGCCCTGACTTGCAACATTCATATTTTACCAGGGTTAATTGTCTTAAGCATCCAACTATAGCAGACATCCTTGGAGTTTTGCAGAAGACCACTCCATAGATGTTGGTTAGTCATCAGAAAATCAGCCTCAAGTCCAGAGTAAGGTCTTACTTCTTCAGCTAAGTAGAGGCAACTGAAGGATACGATGGATGAACCAAATTGAAATGTATATGATGGTACCTCACAAAGCTCGTGGAAAGATTTGTATTATCTTTTAATTCTATTTTTCCATGAACTTTTTGAAGTACCCTGATATGGTGAAGAACTGTAATGTAGAGATAAGAAATACACCTGAAGCAAGATGATGTGGAAAGATTACCATTAATGTTTAATGTAAGAGGCTCAAATCCTGGAGGAAAGGGAATCACAAACAGGTAAGTTCCACATTCTCCTTGGGATTTTGTTGTTGTTGTTTTTGTTCTCAAGAACATTTACAAATTCAGGCATGAAGATTAGAGGTCATGCAGAGTGTAGTGGCCGGGGGCCTGTGTCAGTGTCTCTGGGCATGAGAGGGAGAGGATTGCCTGGGACTGCGAAAATAAACAGAACTTAAACCAAAATCCAAGGGGTAACTGCAGAGAAGTGATCTGAAAATTTTGCATGGATTATTTTAAGGTACTTGTTCAACTCCTAAGCTCTGTGTGTGGACGGCAAGCCTCTGAGAAAATCAGTAAAAAGCAGCAGGTTGGAGGCTAAATAACAAGAAAAGATTTTATGGTGCTATGGACAGAGATTGGAATTTAGGGTGCATGATGGTCAAGTGACCCTGATAAACACTCCAACCATTCAGACAGTGCCACATAATGGCCATGGCATTCTTTATGAAGTAAGGGAAAACCAAAGTTATAGCAACCCTATGAAACCCTGAGGCCCAGTGTTGACTGGGCAATGTTCGTCTTATACTCTACATACCAAAAGAGAATAAAACCCTCCTATCTGGAGGAAGACATCATTATCTAGAGCCTGCATTAATCTTTATATCCAATGTGTATCATTCAATCAAAAATTACTAGGCATGAGGAAAAACAGAACAAGTGACTAAAAACCAAGAAGAAAAAATCAGGTAAATAGAAACTGATCCACGGGTGACTCAGATTTTGGAATTGTCAGATAGGGGACTTTAAAATTACTAAATTAATATTTTCAAGAAAAAGGAAAAAGCAATGTGAGGGGACCCCAGCAGTCTAACAGAGCTCCTGGAAACCTCAGTCAATTTTTCAGTTCTTTCGACAATCTGGCTGGATGTTGAGGTGCTCGTGCCTTCATTAAAATTATCCCAGTGTCATAATTGTGACAATAAACCACGTTACGGATAAACATGTACACTTGTAAAGTCTAAAGCTCAGACAATACCCTCAAATATAACTCATTTCTGAGTCTTCACCAAACTTAGGGTAAAAATATGATTATTATAAAAACCATCAAACAATGTTTATTTGTCCCTATCCTTATTAACTCACGTGAAACTTAGTTAACTTTTTTCCCCCATACAGATGGTTAATATCCCTCAAGCATTTTATTTGTAATCCTAGCACTTTTCATGTTATTTGTTATAAGGGTATTTCCCCTCCGGTTCCTTATGAATTCTGAGAACTCTTACATAGTAGCTAACCAAAATATCTAGATTGCTAGCATTTGAGAGTAGACATTTGGATATCATTCTTTCTCCAGGGCTCACTAACTGACCCATAAAAGGGGTTCAAAACTTAATAAATTAATTGCATTTGGGGGCATTTATCCCAGAGAAATAGAGATTTATGTTCACACAAAACCCTATAATCTATACATTAATGTTCATAGCAGTTTTATTAGTAACAACCCAAACCCCCAAACAGCCCAGGTGTTCTTCAGTGAGCAAATGGAAAACAGACAAATATCTACACCATGGAATAATACTCAGCAATAAAAAAAAAAAAAAAAAAAAAAAAAAAAAACAAGAAATATTTTTGCTATTAAACAAAATACTTATTAACTTTTGGGATATAAGATCCTGGTGATTAAAACATTTTGGGAACAATTTAGGGTAACTTTTCTTGTGTTATTCATCAAGAAAAAGTAATTGCTTTTTGGCATTTAAATCAGAAATAAATGTTTATCGGTATAATTTAATATTTCTTTTACTGTTTTCCAAGAGAGTATTGAATTTTTGTTTAGAATCTTGAGTTTTCTTCTTCTCTCCAAAATATCAAATAGTACCTAAAACATTGTGCAAAGCTATTTCTTAATTTCAGACAGGCAGACTATCCTTTCTGCTTCTTAGCATGAACTTAGACAGCATGGAGGTCTGTTTTCCCTAATGTTTCTTAGCATCAGTTTTTCAACCAAAGAGGGATTTCTCTATTACAGGGATTCTTGAAGCATTTTTCAAAGCCCACCTTCATTTCTAGACCCCATGACTAACCACTTGAATCATTCTGACTGGGACATCAGCCCAGAACCCTTCATTTTAAATAGCAGTTAAAACTTTAGACTAGTCTATCTTCTTAATAGCTATGCCAGTTTGAGTATATTTGGTGTTTCCAAGGGCTTAATTATCACTAACGCATTTTTTTCCTTTTTGGATCTTCTATTATTTTCATCAAATACATAGAAAAACAGTAGGCTAAATTATTTAGTGCTAGTTAAACTGTTGTAATGGAATTGATTCTTCCACACATTTATGGAATCTATTGAAGCTGTGATTACAGAAAATGATTTTATATCTGAAAGTTTTAGCCTCCATCAGCACAGCTACTAATGCAAGAAAACACAATTAGTCCACTATATTTTCTAAATTACCTAAACTTAAAAATATTTATCAAAATGAGAAAATAAAAAAGTGCATCTCTGCCCATCAGTGTTTTCATAAGCCTACTTGTAAGACATTTTAAATAAAATAACTCGAATATAGATGAACAGTGCTTTTAAATTGCGTATAACGTTAGATAACATTGACATACAGAATATACATTTTGTGATGTTATGTAATGTACTTTGTATCAATGCATTATTGATAATATTCAGTTTCTGCTCGATATAAGTATATCATTTACATATTATGCAAATAAAAGATACGAATTTCATGGGGTGGGAGTGTTGTAAATTGAATAAGTAGAAAAGTTTTATGAACCATTTCTTTAGCAGATCTTAGTTCTGAGAAATGTATTTGCAATAGAAATGAGTTAATTCATTGTTATTGATGACACTTCCACTTATGTTATCATAATGCTGCCATCCACCTCCATACCTTTCCTCTCCCTCTGCACTGCCTCCTCTCCTGGTCCATCAGGCTGGCATATGTACCAGAATAACCAGAACTGAAAGTTTGGATCAGTAGGAAAGTCCTAGAAGAGTGCTTTTCATACTTTAATGTTTAGGTCCACAGTGATAGCTACCTTTTACATTAAGACTCATTAAATATGAACATACATGAAGTTGAAACCAAAATCCCACAAAATAATAATGACCTTTCTGTATGAGACTAATTCTATTTTATTACATCTCATGTGTATATATATGTATATATAGTCCTGACCCATTAAATTGATTTTATAAATCACTAAATAATCCCAGCCCACAATTTAAAAAACACAGTCTAGTCTAGAACACACCCCAAAATGCTGAGCAAAATCAAAGGGTATGATTTAAGTTAGAATGAAACTAGGTTATTAAAGACCTTGAAGTACTGGGTGTAAGATGTCAGAGTCAACATGGGCCATTCCAACCAAGGGGGTTAAACTCTGATCACAGAGTGACTGATCAGATCTCTTTGTTTCTGAAAACTAGAAATTAATGGCCCAGCATTGATTGTATTGAACAGATGTAAGATGTCTGAAGATTTATTCTGCCCTGGGTATTGGTATAGGGAATAGAGATGCAAAAATGCAGTTGTAGAGATGTCTACATTAGTATTTTGTCATCTTCGACAAATTCAGTTCCTGCTTTTCTTCTGTCGGCAGGTGACTATTAAGTCTAACACCTCAAATTTTAGATATCTTATACTTATTTAATAAATAACTATTTAATTTTACTGTATGCACATTGGTACTTGCTAAAACTATGGACATTTTAGAAGCGTTATATCACAGTCAGTCAAACCAGAATAAACTATGTTTATAATTTATGATCACAAGAGTCAATTCAGGCCTTCGAGGTAGTTTTGGTTAAATTGTTCTCAATTATAACAGAAATTATTTTATTGACTTTTCACGATGACTGTTGTACTAATGACTGAGAGTCATTGATGGCATTACTTTCCAAAAAAAATCGGATTCTTTAATCAAAACTTTTTATGTTAATGTGACATGTTAAATATGTAAGCTTCATATGAATTGTAGCTCATTCTTTTAAACATATACAAGTCATATTTTCCCTATTATTTTTATTTTATTATATATAGGAGCACAGTAATGACCATCAAATTAATTTTAAAATATTATAGGATTTAAAGTTGGACAAGATTTTAAAAAGCTGTCGTAGCTGATATTTTTCATCCAAGATGAAGACATTTTTCTGGCTACCAGATGTTAACTAAGCTTCAGGTTTAATTTGAGTGGTTAATTTAAATTTCAAATCGCTTTTTAAACTTTCAGTTTGTGTGTATGAATGCTAAGTTTATCTGCATATATAATATATGATAATATTTTATTTGTATATTAAAATACTGTATTTTATCAGCATTACATTAAATTAATGTCACCTACAGCTCTAACTAAGGATTTTTTTAGGGAATAATATGCTTATTTATTATTTCTTCTCATTCATCTCATTGTGAGAAATGAAATCAGGTTTGGCCTGTTTCCAGCACAAGAATCTGTGTTTCATTAAGATATATTTCCTGTATTTTTCTTATAGAATAATCTCTCTCTTTCTCTCTCTCTTTTTTTTTTTTTTAATTTCAGACTCCTGTAGTTGTGAAGGATGAAATCACATTTGACTTGTTTTCAGCAAATGAACATTTACTCTGCAGTGAGGTATGGAGGGAAGTGTGAACTAGAGTCTCATTGAAGAGTGCCTTCCACACCTGCTTATACAATTCCCAGACAATTTCATTTCTCTTTTGCTCACCTTTAAGTTTTGGAATAACTGAGTATATATTTTTTCCAACTTTATTGAGGTATTGCTGACAATTAAAAATTGTATGTACTTACGGTGTACAACTTGATGGTTTGATATTTGTGAAATATTCCCCACAATCAAGCTAATTAACATATCCATTATCTTACATAGTTACTATTTTTTGTATGTGGTGAGAATACTTACTATCTACTTTCTCAGCAATTTTCAAGATACAATACAGTATTGTTAAATGTAGCCAATTGTTATAAATAGATCTTCAGATCTGATCTTGCATAACTGAAACTTTGTACCCCTTGACCAACATCTCCCTATATCTCCTGCCCTCTAGACCCTGATAACCAACATTCCACTCAATGTTTGTATGAGTTTGACATTTTTAGATTCCACATATAAATGAGATTGTGCAGGATTTGCTTTTCTTCCTCTGGCATATTTCAGTCACCATAACTGAGTATTTTTTACATCAGACATTCAAAAGGGAAATGAAGCAACTTTAATTGAGTTGAGTGAGCAAATGGTGGGAAATCAGCACTGCTCATGCCCCAATTCTTCTGCCCAGGGTCACAAATTAGCTGGGTTCTCACAGTCTGGGCATTTCCCATGCAACTCACATGCCTAGTAATGGACATAAAGTTGCTGTCTGTCTTGCCCTGCACTGTGTCCACAAGTAGGGTGTTGTGATGTTGTTTGACTTAGTAATGTAGGGGGAATCTTTAGGGTGCAGTTGGATTGCAACACCTTTTCTAAACAAGCAAGGTTTTCAGCCCAGAGGTCCTTTTTGCTGTGGGAGAGCGTGGGTAGGGCTTACCTCTCCACCTTTCCATCCCCCACCTACCACCTCCCATCTCACCACCCTGGGTTTTATCCATCACAAGCAGGTCTGTTCCACTCTCCTAAATTAGTTACATCAGAAACAAGGGCTTTTTGATCATTTTCTTGTAAGACTCAGTCAAAGGAGTGGGGCATGGTCATTACTGATGCAAATACTTTGTCTTTCTTACCTTTAATGTCTTGACCAATATTAAAAATTAAAACACTTATTTCTCCAACTTGCTTATACTGATTGGTATAAAATTATCTCTGAGTTGTTTTATATTTTATATTATGGTCTAAAATATACCTATTTGATGAATCCTAAACTTACATAGACTTTAGCTTTTCATTTTCCAATGGAAGAAAAGTATGAAATATTCAGATAGCAGAAGAGGAAATCTGCTTTACCTTTGTCAGCCAAACTTTAAGAATTTCCTGTATAACTCAAATTGAGAAAAATATAAATCTTATGAGGTCAGTGCCAAGTAAATTTTCTTATGAACCAGGCAGTTTAACTTGAGAGGCATGATATAAAAAATCCGATACTACTGAGGTAATAATGGCTTTATTCAACACTAACTACGACCCAGGGATTTCTTACACCTTGTTGCTATTCTTTACAAAAACGCGGAGAAACAGGTAGTATTTCCTGCATTCTATAGAGGAGGAACTGCAGTGCAGAGAGGCTGAAGTCACTTGCCCAAGTGCAGAAGCCTCTGGAGGATCTGCAGAGGATTCAAATCCTGGTCTCTATTCCTACACAGAAGCCCACCTTCCCACTGAGCCTGCTGCCCGTTAAAAACATGGCACATGGGAGTTTTACACAGAGCATTTCGGCACCTACAGATCAACAGCACATATGAATATGGGATATAGAGGATATGTACACGTCTGTGCAAGCATCATTCTTTCATTCTCTAACTGGTCCTACTAACGTAAAAGATAATTTTCTCCTCAAATTTCTCAGTGTTTACAGGACAGCAGCTCTCTCGTTTCTCTCAAAAGTACTCAGTCTTTCTCTTTCTCTCTGTCTCTGTCTCTCTCTTTCCCACACACACAACTCATGTGAAAGTCAACGTCAAAGGAAGGTCAATGCTAAATCACTCACAGTTGACTCTGAAAGACAACTTTTTTAGCTAAAAGCATGTTTAATATTAGACATTTTAGTTTGCCTTGTGAATATATTTCCCCCAAACAAAAGCAAAACCTGTGATTTTATTCTGTAGGTCAGAAGTCAAAATGCAGAATAAATTATATGTAAAAATGAATATTACTATTGAACGTAAATTTTTTACTGTATTAACCCCTAAATTATAGCACCTATATCTGAAAAGTAACAAATTAACACTAATGGTTTTTGTCTCTAGCTGATGAGATGGATTATCAGTGAAATCTATGCAGTTTTTTTACTGTATTAACCCCTAAATTATAGCACCTATATCTGAAAAGTAACCAATTAACACTAATGGTTTTTGTCTCTAGCTGATGAGATGGATTATCAGTGAAATCTATGCAGTGTGGAAGATATTCAATGGAGGAATTTTGAGCAATTATTTTAAAGGGACTTCAGGGGAACCTCCACTTCTCCCCTGGAAGCCGTGGGAACACATATACTCTCTGTGCAAGGCTGTGAAGGGTCATGTGCCTTTGTTCAATAGCTATGGAAAGTATGTTGTGAAACTTTACTGGATGGTAAGTTAGTTCAAGTTTATGTGCATAAAACTCATGCATCTTCCATATTGAAATACATTCATCTTGCAAGCTGTTACCTAGGCTAATTCAAGGTAAGGCCATTTATACAGGATGTGAGTTGTGTGGCTACTGAGGGAAACTGTCCTGCATATGTAATTTATGATTAATAAGAAACATGGTTGTTTCTCCTGTGATGCCAGTCCCATGTGCTTTTTAAACTGATGCTGCCCAGACCATGGAGGCATGGCCGCTCTGGGTAGAAGCTGGTCCTGCTGCTGCCTCTACACTCTCGGGCTGTGGTGAGCTGGGTGGGCAGATGGAGGCACAGAGCTTCCTCCCTCCCTCTTTCTCTGGTGTGTGGTATCAGAGTCATGGGCAGGAGAAAGTGCTTGACCATGGTCCTTTTCTTCTCCCTTGACTTTTGCTGCAGCTGAGGGCCCTGATCCCATCAGTTCTTTGTCCTAAACTTGAGATTTGTCTTCATGTTAACAAATCTTACTCTGACACAAAGAAGATTTTACCTCTGCCTAAAAGGAAGCAAATGAGACAGTAAGAAACACAAATAGAGAATTCAAAACCCCTTATGAATATGGCAAAGTAGACTCACACCACATTTAGCAATGCTAGGTTATATTAAACACCTTTGGGTTTTTACTGGTCTGAGTCACTGGGAAAGGATGTTCTTGAATATTTGAAGGAGTGTGAAAAGTATAAAAAAGTTAGTAATTCCATTTTATATTTCTAGGAACATGACTTTTTCCTTAATGGGCCTGAGCCACTTATCTTCCTAGGATGGGGAATGTTGAAGGGCCAATAAATAGAAATTATTAGAATCATTATAGTGGGAAGGTAAAGATAAAGAAGATAATATAACCACTAATATCCAAATAGGATTTTTATTCTTTAAATATTCACAGCAAGACAATAGACTTTGAAACTTTGTTAGGAGAGATAATACTTCTTAAATTTCTTTTCTCACCTTTATTTACCAATCAGGAGGCCTATTTGGCAGAGTAGGCTTTAGAGTTTTAACTGTGTGCAGAGTAGTGAGCAGGAGGATGTGGCACTAAGAAGCAGAAAGCCCAGTGGGTGATGCTGAGTGATTATAGAAAGAAGAAGGTAAACACAGGAAGCATGAGGAGGTCGAACGCCTGGGTCCTTGTCTCCCATCCCCCTGCATTTGCCGGAACTGGAGGTGGGAGGGAGTCCAAAACAATATATTAAGAATTTCATAACATTAAGCCAACCCTGCTACTCTCTTTCTCATTCAATCTCTCTCTCTCTTTCTCTCTCTCTCTGTGCTTCCTTTTTCTTCTCAGATTTCCTTCTGGACAGGGTTAAACATTCATTCACACAGCATTTCATTTTGCAAGGGAAATGTGACTTATTTCTCCTTCAGTGTACTGATTCCTCACAAACCCAAACCTACTTGATTCAGCAATTTAAAAAAAAAAATGTATTTAGTACACTTTGGAAATCTCAGTCTGACCCAATGATGTAGCCCATCCCTTTAGATAATTTAGCCATTTAGGGAAGAGTGCTAGGATTGTGGCAGTCAGATATTGGACCTCAAGTCCAATGGCTTGCTCTGGTTCCTCACTGGTCTAATCTAAGGAATGGCTTGTGTGAGATGCTGTTAAGCTGTGAGCACTGAGATACCAGTGGTTCCATGTGAATTGTTTTGGAAGGCATGTGATAGACAGGTGGCTGCTTCATTTTCTGGTTGGTAAGAATCTGCTCTCTGGGGGAGGGGCAGAAATTTCTACCTCTTTCTACCAAATTCCCAGCTAGTAGGGCTGAATCAATACCTATGTGTATATTAGCACTAGTAAAGGATTAGAGTAAATTCTTTCTGACAAAATATACTATATTCTTTTTTTTTCTTTTCTTGTCCCTTTCTACACACACAAAATATAATTTTTGATTTCTTTTTTCTATTCCAATTTTATTTCATTATTCATACATGTCTATCCTTTGCTTTTCTCTGCAAATACTTAGGAAACTTGTTCATAAGAATATGCTTTGTTACCTTCTATTGCTCGGTTCTGTATGACACACTGCAGACCTGTCTTATGCCCTTTGTTTATTTTCTTTCCCCTTTCATTTCCTGTTCACCTTCAGTCTCCACTGTTTTTCTTCTTTGATTTTTTGATGCTTCCCTATCTTTCTTACTGGGGATTGATTTTCCTTCTCTGCCTTATTACAAATATTGTTCTCCCCCTCTTCCATTGTCCAATGAAGCATTTACCTTTGTCACTTCTTCGAGGCACATCAACCTCACAGAGCCTCTCTGCATGACATTTAAAATTCTGATTTTCACACCAGCATATTATTCTTCCCATAAAACTATTCCCATTATTTCCAGTTCAGATTCTATATAAACTACATCAACTTCTTTGACATCAGCCAGATAAAAATTGATTGAGTAGCATTAAGACCCAAGTTATAAAACAGTATTCTTCCCATAAAACTATTCCCATTATTTCCAGTTCAGATTCTATATAAACTACATCAAGTTCTTTGACATCAGCCAGATAAAAATTGATTGAGTAGCATTAAGACCCAAGTTATAAAACAGAGAGCTACTTTCTCTCTTTCACCTGGCAGTAGTAATGCTGATACTGGGACACATTATCATCAGGTCAGGTACTTTCCAATTTCAGTATTCCTTTGGCTCCCTGAAAGAAACAATTCAGTCATTGCTGTCCACTTGAAATATGTATTGCTGTTGCCAGCCTTTTTCTGAGTGTTTCTATGCTTTTGTTTGCTTTTGATAAACAGAAAAAACACATACTCGACCGATAATTTTCCCTAGTTGCTATCACTATATTTATATAAAAATGTGTTAGCTTTTATTTCTGTTTGACCTTTATAGTTTTTAAGCATAATATCGTTATAGAATTCAGTTTCTTAAACTGTGGAGTGCAGAAAGCCCCAGCATCAACACCATCTACCGTGCTTCTTAAACCTGCTTATTGTACCCCACCCCAGGCCTCTGGAGTCAGAGTTTCTGGGGTAGAACCTGCAATCCTGCATTTTAAATAAACTATCTCTCAACTAGTGACATATTTATTTATCAAATTTGCAGAACACTGTTCTTAAAATACAAATCATGACATTATTTTTCTAGTTTTTTAGTTTAAGTTTAAAACTTCCATTTTTCCTCTTTTATGTCTTCTGTTTCTTTGCAGAGATTTCTATTCTTCAATTCATTTCAAGAGTGTTTGTAATTGCTTGCTGGAGTGTTTTTATAAGTTGCTTTAAATTTCTTATTAAATAATTCCAAACTCTCTGTCATGTTGGTGTTGTGGTCTGTTGACTGTATTTTCTCATTGAAATTGAGGGTTTCCTGGTTTTTGGTATGATGAGTAATTTTGAAGAGTTTCCTGGACATTTTGAGGATTATATTTTACAACTCTGGATTCTAATTAATTTTCTATTTTAGTAGGTAGTCAACCTGTTTAGATTCAGAATACCCATCCTGGCTCAAATTTGCAGTCTGTGTTTTAAATACTGATTTAGTTTATAAATCCTCTCTGCTGGGCTACTCTTGTTTGTTACTCAAATGATAAAACTTTATCCAACAGTCTTCTTAGCACCAACCAAGGAGGGCAAAGCATACTACTGGGGTATATGTACAGAATACCATATACTAGGTGGTTTATAAACAACAGAAATTTATTTTTCATAGTTCTGGATGCTGGGAAGTCCAAGATGAAAGCACCAGCAGATTTGGTGTCTGGTGAAAGCCTGCTTATGGGTTTATAGATGGCTGGCCATCTTCTTACTGTAATCTCACATGACAGAGGGGGAGGTCCCTGGTCTCTTCATCTTTAGTCCTTTTCAAGGACATGAATCCCATTCATGAGGGCTCCACCCTCTTTACCTAATCACTTTCCAAAGGCTATAACGTTGACTATTAGGATTTCAACATACAAATTTTGGAAGCAAACAAAAAAATGGAGGCACACACAAACACATAAGTATATCTACACACACAAGTGTGTGTATATATGTGTACATATATATATAATATTTATTTTCTTTATAAATTTGAAGGAAGCCACCGACCAATATATTAATATCAATGAATCAAAAAAAAAATCCCCAAGAAAATTGTCATGTCTAGTTAAATTATGTGTTGGAAATGTATGTAATACTAAATATTCATCCCTGTGTATTCTCTTTTTTTGGAATAGATTTAATGAGATACAATTCATGTACCATACAGTCCATTCATTTAAAGTGTATAGCTTAATGATGTTTAGTAATCAAAGCATTCTAAAATGCTAAATCTAAATCTATCAATCTAAAAATGATATCGCTGATAATCTGAAAGCAGCTGATATTTGTTGAACTGGTCTGACTTAAGTTCTTATGGCTGCTTAAAACATTACCTTCAGAGGACTGGCTGCCCCTTCAAAACTTTTATAGAAAAGTAAACTGTAGAAAGGGAACTTCTATTGCTATTTTTTTATTGTGGTAAAATATACATAATGTAACATTTAACATTTTAACAATTTAAGTGTACACAATTCAGTTACATTAAGTATTTTCACAATATTATACAACCATCACTACCATCTATTTCCAGAATTTTTCATCATCCCAAACAGAAATTCTATACCTATTAAATTATAACTTCCCTTTTTCCCTTCCCCCCGACTCCTCATAACTACTCTTTCTGCCTCTATGAACTTGCTTTTCCTAGGTATCTCAAATAAATAGAATCATACAATATTTGTCCTTTTGTATTTGATTTATTTCTCTGTATTATTTTTGCTCATTCCAAAATTAGGAGGGGGGTGGCTAAATACCTGTGTCTTTAAACTTTTCTTGCCCTACATCATCTGTTAAGGAAAAAAGAAAAAGACTTATAACCACTAAATAAGGCAATATAAAGTTCAAGGTTGCAAGTGTCACACAAAGAAAACATTTTTCACCTTATTGCTTCTATTCCCCTGAGAAAAATATGCTGTTACTGAAATCTTCAATTCAAAGGTCACTTTCTTTTGAGACTTCCCCACAGCAAAATTAGTCACACTTTTCTTTCTGGTCCTAAAGCACTTTAAACATACAGTACTCTATGTTGTTTGCATATGTGCCTTTCTCCACTAAACTATAAGTAATTCAGTGGTACAGGCCATATGTTATGCAGATCTTTGGGTTCACAATGCTTGACACCACTGCTGAAGATATTTGTTGGCAAAGGAATAGATTCATAATAAAATTTAGCATATGAAACCAAAGTTGAAAAAAAAACCCTTTATTTGAGTTTACAAGCATTAATGTTATTTGTTTCATCCTTTTAATTATGAAGAAATATGCATGCAGATAAATATGTAATAATTTTATCAAATAATATATTAATTTACTTCATTTTTAAAAAATCACATCTTTAATTAAGAGTAGGAGTAATGTGGGAATTGGAAGTGTAAGATCAGTGAGTGCATATCAGGATAAGCAATAATTACTAAAGTTATATTTGAATCATTTGTATTATGACTATACAGTGTACTAAATTGTGCCCAAGCTTATCCACGTTTTGGTTCTGCTATTTGGAACACTTTAATTTACTGCATTATGTAGGAATGGGGTACCCAAAAATGTACTCACAAGACCTCATAAATAAGGATAGTATTGATATAGATATAGATATACTATAATTATGTTAAATAAAATAGTAAGCTAAAATGCTCAGCCAGAGTAGTATTGAAAACCAGTATCTCAGTCTTTAAATGTCAGATACTAAATTAAAATTATAAGGCAGTAAATAATGTCAGTAATATATAATGATGTATGAGAAAAAATGCTATAAATCATTGATGGGTTTTTTTGTTCTTATTTTTAGGGTTGCTGGAGAAAGATAACTATTGATGACTTTCTGCCATTTGATGAGGATAACAACCTATTACTTCCAGCTACAACCTATGAATTTGAACTCTGGCCAATGCTTTTGTCTAAAGCTATCATTAAACTGGCAAATGTTGAGTACGTAGTGAGAAAATATCACTCACTTGTATAAAAAATAGTAAACAACAACTATGCATCTATATTGCATAGCTTTATTTTTTTAAAAAATCAATTAAAAGAAAGGTTTGTTTCTAAACATTGTAAATTTTCTGGTATTAAAAAAGAATGTACCAAAGCCACTAATTTGAAGTATTGGGTTAGCCAATAAGACAAAACTCCCCCAAGAAGAGATACTCAAAATATTATTCTATATTCAAGTGCTCTTTTAGTATTAATGGGAAGTCAATCACAGAAAATAAAGTTTCAGCTTAATGGAAGAAATAAATTATTTTGTAAAGGAAAATACTGGTTCATCTAAATACTGAATAATATATACTTGAATCTAGTTAAAGTTTTAGATTCTGTGAATGCAGCAATAACTTACTGTTCTTAAAATCCCTGAACTCTTCTCAAGGATGTCAATGTGCTTCTCATGCTTTTGATAACATGGGTTACTTCTGGTACATTCATGATGAGAACTACTCGTATTTTCTTTAAATATTCTTGCAAAATCCTGCACGACTTGTATACCAACATATATGAGACATGCATGATATATTTCTCTCAGCTTTCACTTTCAGAGATAAGGAGTCATTTCATCTTGCCCTTAGCAATGCAAAAAAGCGTAGCTGCTTGAGTTGGAAATGTGTAACAACTTTATGTCATCCTTCAGTGGGAGAATTCTCACATACACTGCACAGGCTTGAATTTTTATACTCTTCTGTCTCCTGCAGTGTGTCATAGCATCTCCATAGTCCATGGAACACACCCACGTGCTTTAACAAACTATGTCAGCACTTGCTCATGGCGCAGCCCCCTCCCCTTCTATGTGCTTTGTGTGGATTTTCTCTTGGCTCAGCTTCCTTTTCTCTCCCAAGGCTACAAAACAAAAACAACCATCTTCTTCATTTCCCTTTTTTCTTACCAGCCTTCAATTCTCTATTGTGAGTTTGTTTCACCCAGCTTTCAGCCCTTAAATTGCAATGATATTTATGAAGACTTAGCAGAGACTTTTTAAGTAGCTGAATACTACTAAATATTCACATTGGTGGCAACTATATTTGTTTATTTGAAAAAAAAAAAAAAAACATTCGTAGTGTTCCTAATTCTCATATCTAATTTGAAGTCCTGAGAATTTTATATTTGTTTATTTGAAAAAAAAAAAAACATTCGTAGTGTTCCTAATTCTCATATCTAATTTGAAGTCCTGAGAATTAGAGTTTCAAGACCAATGAAGCATTAAGTACATGACCCGAATAATAGGCATTTTTGTCTTTCTTAAAGCCATAGTTCAGTAAAATTTTATAGCAACATGAGTAGTAGAGTTGTTATTATTATTTAAGTAAAATAAATTCAGCTTGGAAATACAGGACTGAGCTAGGTGTAATACATTTCTTAGATTTCCAGAGAAAACCTGCCCTATATGGTACAATTTATGTTTTTCTATATATTTTTTTCTCATATTTGGTAGTATATAGCACTTATTTTCATATGAGGATTAGCTTTCAACATTAAAAAAATTAACACATGGTACTTATTTCAATATCAATGTGAGATATGCAAAGTAAAGAGCATGATTTCTATGAGGTTTCCAAAGTCACTTCATAAATATAATTATCCAAAGAAGAATGTGGACTAGACTGTGAACTATCCCAATAAATATTTGATATCTTTGAGATATGTAGACACATAGAAATTCATAATCTATAAACAACAAACCCATGTAAATTTATAAATGATGGAATATGTGTTTTTAAGTTTTTTTCTGAAGAAAAGGACGTGTGTTGGTCAATACCATCAACACTACCACTGACATATGATGGATTGAAACTGTGACTCCTGGGCATAAAGGAGATATGGCATTTCTGTGTATAAATGTAAACAGACTAATAACTTAGAGAAAAATTTTTTTACAAAAGAACTAAATGAGAGTACTGATATTTGGTTAATCACAGCCTTGTTTGACTTTTTCTGGCAGATCCACTCTTTTGTACAAGATAGAACAGATGTTTCTGGCTTCTCTGCAGTTATCTAAGGATTTCATTAAGAATTTCTGATACCCACTTTGACCTGCCAAAGAGAAGACTGATTTAATGCACAGTCTCATAAGCATCTTAAAATAATCACTGAAATTGGAAAGATAAAAGACACTGTTCTATTTAAAAAGAACATGACTGTGTATTGAATGTATAAAGTGAATTATACACTATGTTGTACTTTATGTATATGGCTGATTAATATTAATTTTAAATCTTTTTAAAGTAAAGTTTATAAATGTACTTTGTAAATATGCATGAAATTTAATTATTGTTCCACATTTTGCTTTCTTTAAAAATAAAAAGCAATTTTCTGCTTTGATGGTACTGAATTAATGTAGTGTTAATATAAGAAGAGACATTAAGTTCTCGATTTCCATCAAACACACCTCTTTCCTATGTTACATACAGAGTAGAATGGACCAAAGCACGCAGCAAAGGAGAAAAGTTATCTTGTGTTTTTTATTTTTCAGTGAGATAAACACAGATTAGATTATGATTTTCCAATAATTCATTGTAAGCTGAAAGCTCAAATATGAAGAAAAATTCAAGTTATTTTACAAAATGTAGAATTATATATTAAAAATTTACGTATATTGTATCTCCTAAAGTATTTCATATAGCTATGCATATGAACAATAATGCTTGTATAGTAAAATAAACAAATCTACTGGAAAATACTCAGCTTTTTTGTGTATGTCGTTAGTGTCTACAATGATATTTCAAATATTGACCTGGAAAAAGAAACAGGCACTGATGAAGTATCTGAGTATATTTGAGCCAGTATGAGTGACTGCAGCCCAGGAAACAGCTGAGTTGCCTCGGGATGTGCCCCAAAGAGACAGCAGAGTTTTCATATTTTTATAATCACAAAAAAATAGTAATAAAGGGGAGAAAAGGGAATAGTCCCTTCATCAGTACAACAGTTTTTCTGTTAATTACTACATAGTATATAGATTGGTGATTGGTGCCAGGATACATTTCGCATATATATATATATTTAGTAGTAAGGGTCACAAAATCCATTCCCAGTTTTTAGGTTAATTTACAACTTCTTTAGGCATCAGCAAGTCTGGTTCTTAGGTAAAAATAGCCACGTGGTAAACATTCTCAGAATGTGGGGACATGACTTAAAACCCATTCCAGTCCTCCAGATACTTTAAGAATTTAGGTGAACTCGGTCAGAGCAGATTTTGATTTTATCACAAATATTTATGTTTATAATGTATTTATTTTTCAGAACTATTGCTATTATTTTTTATTGTGTAGTACATTTTTTATTGGTTATGACTATTCATGAGATACGAAGCTGATTGCTACCACTCATGCCCAAGATGTGATGGCCAGATCCATACTGGCAGCATGCCCATTACTACAAATTGTGGTTATACCCTGTGTCCCCAACCAATTATCCCCGACCTCCTTCACCATCCTCCTTTCCCCCACTCCACTTTGTACCCCTATGTATGCTCTCTCCCTCTGGAAGTCCAACATACCACTGTGGTCTTTCTTTCCTTCCTTCTTTCTCTCTTAGCTCCCACTTTTGAGTGAGTACATATGGTATTTATCCTTCGGTACTTTGGTTTTTTCACTCAAGATATGTTTCTCCAAGCTCATCCATGTTATTGTGAATGGCAGAATTTCATTCTTTTTTAAGGCAGAGTAGTATTCCATGGTGTATATATACCACAGTTTCCTTACCCAATCATCCATTGATGGACATTTATGTTGGTTCCATGTCTTGGCTATTGTAAACAGAGCTGCAACAAACATGGGAGTGCAGGTATCCCTTCAACATGATGATTTCCATTGCTGGATTATATGGGTATATACCCAGAAGTGGGATTGCTGGATCATATGGAAGATCTGTCTGTAGTTTGAGAAACCTGCATACTGTTTTCCATAGTGGTTGTACTAATTTACAGTCCCACCAACAGTGTAGGAGTGTTCCCTTCAAGGGAGAAGAATTTTAAAGAGAGGAGATTAACAGTGTCCACAGCTGCAAGAAGAAATACGAGGGTCAAAGAAAGCCAGCAGCTTCTGGTCATGAGAGGCTATTGGTGGTTTTTGAAAGATGACATTCAATAGTGCAGGGGGGTCAGAAACATGATTTCAAGGAGCTAAGGAAGTCCCTGATGGTAGGGAAAATATAGTAAATGTAGTCCCTGGTGGTAGGGAAAAGGTAGAAAAATAATTTTCTGCTCCACCCTTCAGCTGAGAGTCCCTGTAACAAATAATGGATTAACAAGGGACATACAAACAGAAATTTAAGAACATGTATACCTCACATATATGCAGCCAATAATTCAGAGAAATGAGTGAATCTCTAGAGTAGATCTCACAGAGACCTGAATTTTTAATTGGGTTATTTGTTTTTCTACTGTGTAATTGCTTGAGATTCTTGTATATTATGGATATTAATCCCTTGTCAGATGCATAGTTAACAAAAATTTTCTTCCACTCTGTAGGTTGTCGTTTCACTCTGTTGATTATTTCCTTTTGCTATGCAGAAGGTTTGCAGTTTGATATAGTCCCATTTGTTTATTTTTTTCTTGTGTTGCTTGTGCTTTAAGGTTCATGTTCACAAAGTCGGCGCCCAGACCTAGTTCCTGAAGTGTTTCACCTATAGTTTACCTTAGTAATTTTACACTTTCAGTTCTTATACTTAAGTCTTTAATCCATTTTGAGTTGATTTTAGTATATGGTAAGAGATGCATGTCTAGTTTCATTCTTCTGCATACGGATAGCCAATTTTCCCAGCACCACTTATTGAAGAGACATTCTTTTCCCCAATGTAGATATTTATTGCCTTTGTCAAATATCAGATGGCTGCAAGCCTGAAGGGTGATTTCTGGGTTCTCTATTCTGCTGCACTGGTCCAAATGTCTATTTTTATACCAATATCATGCTGTTTTGGTTGCTATAGCTTTGTAGTATAATTTG